ACGTGTCATTTAAATGAGTGATTCTTTTAATTCATATGGTTATAGGAGACCCGTTATATTGAATAAATCTACTCATTTAATGACATATGAAAGTTGTATTAAAATGTGGTATAAAAAAGTTGTCTATATAGTAGCACCTTTTAAATTAAATTTTAATTAAATGAATTGGTGTTATTTAAGATTAAAGCTTTATTTATTTTTTAATTAGAACTGAAATGCACTTATATATATAAAGTGATATATTTCTTTTTCACAAAAATAACTTTCAAATTACATAACAAAAATACTTGGATATTAGGATATCCACTCATCTTTATTTTACATTATAAGTTAATATAGTTTAGATTAAAATATAAGATATTTTTTAATATTATAATTCAATATAATTTAAATTATGAAGTTAGTATACTCTAAAAAAAAATTAAAATTCTAACTTACATTTAAAAAGTAAAATTTCAATTTGAAATTTAAAAATTTATTTTATTAAATATTGATAATTAAATTTAAAAATCAATTATATATTTTAATATAATCAATTTATAAATTTAAATATTAAGGTTTAATAAGATAAATTTTTATATTTTAAATTAAATAATATAATATAATATAAAATTAAGTACTAATTTATTTTAAAAATTGCGACTTACATACACTTTTTAGATAATTTTTTTTACGCTATAACAGTAAGAAGTACTGAACATAGGAGATTGCTAAAGGGGTCGGGGAATCAAAATATGGAAGTCATCAGCTAAAATAGAAGATTCTATATTTCATTCCGACGGAATCTTACACTTTGCACCTAGAATATATAATAGCATATCCCAATTTTATTTCGTCGTCACACCACTCAACTGAGCCACATGAAATTTCCACAACCTACTACCAATCCCCAGCTCATCATCTCCCTCACGACACTGCCACGTAGTATCCCCTGCTCCTGACTCTGCTGCGCGTTGAACCTCCGTTAAAATGTCTTCGGCCGCAGTTTTCACTAATGTGTGTTGCTCCCTAAATCCCCCGGGGTCGCCGGGCTCGGCATCTATGTCATTCGGTCAGAGACGCCTGAAGCATTTACATTATTTCAGTGCTTGTAGCAGAGCTTTTTCAGGGAATGCTAAAAATCTATCGGCTTTTCAGCTGGTTAGACGGGCTGTCTTCAGGTTTCATTTGTTTCCTTTTCCCATTGTTGTGGCATGCTCCATATTCGAGTATTTTGCTCCTTCTTAATCTATATGCTAGTTTTTCCTGTTTTCTTGAGGATATAATAGCTGAACATTGCCTTTAGAATAGGATCAACTAAAGCAGTGAGTAGTATGGAGTGTGATAAATTTTTGCTTAAAATTTTCCCTTTGACATGGATTGAGACCGCGGTTCAGGAATAAACTGTCACCCATTTGAATTGTGGTGCTCCTTTTTTTTTTTTTTTTTTTTTTTTTTTTTTCTTTTTATCACGAAAGAAACTGCTTGATTCTATGCACTTGCTAAGGTGAATCAAGTTTTTCAGCTGTATTCTTCTAAGCAATTTAATGTTTACAAGAACCTCAACTCAATAATTTACTGGCTACATTTTACTACTGAACTTCATAAATATCCTGATTTTAGTGTTAGTTCATTGAGAAGTGACTGGTTTATTTAAGTAGGATTTAAAAATTTAATTTCTTTTTTCTAAGGTATAAATATGTATATATATATATATTAAATAGCTCAGAACACTAAGTCACTAATTTTCTTAGGTACCCATACCATAAAAGAAGTAGATTTTGAAATTTTGTTGGGGCTGTTGTTTAGTATTTTGTCACGATTTCTTCACCTAGATGTGAATATTTGGATGTTGCAATATGCAGTGCTCCAGCCATATAGACAACAACAACTTGACATAGTTTACTGTTGGTTCCCATACAAAGGCAATGGTTGCCATCTTGTTTTCAAGATTTTTGTTCTCCATGTCTAGGGGCAATGACCATCAGAGAAAAGAGAGTTTTTCTCTAAAATGCTCTAGGTTGATTCAGCCATGTCATTTTTCACTAATTAATTGACACTATTGATACATAGAAAACTAATTCACTTCATGCCATTACAAGCAGGATTAGAAGCTTTCAAGATGAGGGTGGTGAAATGTATGAAGCCCCAAAGCATAAAGATATCACAGATGAACAGGTTGTTGATGAGATACTTAGAGATGCAGACAGTGAAAATACTGACATGGGAGAATTGTTTCTGCTAAAATTGGCAGTTATCTTGGCTGTAGCCGTAATTCTCACTGTCCTATCATTTGGAGAAAATGGTGCTAGTCTTGGATCATTAGTTGGAGTTCAATGCCTGAGTGAGGTTTCTTCTTCTTCCTCTTTGGTTGTGGCTTCTCCTATTGGTTTCACTTTCAATGCTTTTGGATATAGATTTATACTTCCGGAATATGCACCAGGGTATGTCTCTTAAGCCTGCAGATATAGATTTGATTTTTCCTATTATCTTTTCTACCAATACTAAAGTTAAGAATCCGTTGTCCATGCAAGCCTTTGATCTGTAATGTTCACAACTTGGTCTGAAAATTGTTTAGAAAATTACATTATCTTCCAAGAGTGTATTCTTTTCCATGAACTATGCTGAAGGTTTTCCTGAAATGCTATTTTGCAGATGGTTGTACTTTTGGTTGCTTATGGCTGCTGGGTGCGGACTTTTTATCAGTGAAGAGGCTCTAAATATTTGGGTCTGTCTTTTGCACTGGTGCTTCTGTTTCACTCATTCAAAAAGTATTTATTGTCTGTTTGACTTGTTCCAAACATTCAAGTTTCAACCACCCATTGGTATTTTTTACTTACATTTTCTTTGGACTTGATGAAAGTTATCTGGTGAATAATGTAGGTTGGCATATCTCTAGCACGGATGTTGTCACTGGGTGGTACATGGCACTTGCTTGTTGAATCTCTATTGAGAAATGCCCCACACATATTATCCACTGTTCTTTGGGTATATTGGTTAGTTGCAGCTCTGCCTTTTCATTATTTCTTTATTCTTTGCTATGGGACTCTTCTTGATGAGTTGAGGATGTGGTAACTGGAGCTTTTAGCTTTCTCTAGTTGCAGCTATGTGTTCAGACATAGACAGGCAAATGCTAGTATTAGAAAGGCTTTTTAGTTTTTAGCCTAACTCCTGGAAACTAGAAGTAAGGGTTGAGAGAAAAGCCTTAGCCACAACCTATCATGGGAATAAGTAATTCAAACTGCATGTAACATGGTAATTGGCTATCATAAGTCACTTGTTTTACAACTTATGAGCATTTTGCATCTAAGTATTTTCCCGTAACATTGATCATGTGTATCCTCTTAGAGAATTCTCTAACCGTATCATTGATTGTAATATTTCATCGACATCACAACTTAAACCTTCAGGGGAGTTTGCATCAGTGATATGATACCATTTTACCTTGGGAAGTGGTTCAGACAAAGTGGAGGATCTGATGATGTTTGTTCGAAGGTTTGTTCTATTTATTCGCTTCTAACAAGGTTTTAAGGTTTCCTTGCTTATGTCACACATTTTTGCATCAGATCTAAGCCAAGTTGCTTTAATTGTAATATACTAATATGTCTATCTGCTTCAATTGCTAGTGATTTATTTGTTTGCTTAATATATAGTTGGGAATTGGTAAAGAGAAGGCACTAAGTATTACTCGCGCTGTTAAAAAATATGGCAACCTCATAGGCTTTGGTGAGTTACTTGGCTTGTCCACCATTTCACTTATGCTATTACTTCCAACATACAATGAGGAATTTGATCTGCTAGGATGTTCTTTGAATGCTCCTAATGCCATTGCTTAAATTCACACATTTTATCTAATTATAGCCTTTGATCAATATTGCAACAATATTTTTGCTGACTGTAATGCAGGGAAGGTAGGGGTAGAACAAACAGAAACTAAGAACTCTGTAAAATTAAAGATGGAAACAAGAAAACTTAGGTTTTCAACCTCAAGTTTATTCTTAGACTAAAATTTCATAACAAAACTGTTCTTGAAACCTAAGAAGAATAACTATATCTACTAACAAGAGCTAAGAATCCTAATTCAAGTCTAATTTGCACTTCTAATAAACTATGAACTCCTAATAAGCTACTAATTCTAATCCTAATTAAAAATGACTTTCCTAAAATTAAAACTTGGACTCCAAATAAAACTCAAACTTAATGCAAAACAAACAGCCCTAAAACTAATCATTAAAAAGAGCTCTATGCTCCTGCATCAGACTGTTAGATACATTGGAAGATAGGGTAATTGAGTTTATCACTAGTTACTTAATTTCCATTGTTGAGTTGGATATGACTTGTAGGCATGCTATTGGATTGTCACGATTGACAAAATTCTTCAACCTAATTTATAAATGCTATTATATGTATGGTACTGAAATTTGGTGTAATAGTTGAAGCATGACTGGCACCGAGAATATTGTTGTTTGACCATAAAATGGGGCAAATGGGATTATTAAGACATTATTGTTGGAGTGATTCTTTAAATAATGTATTTGAAAGCTGCTTTAAATTGGTAGAAGTCACTAATGTTTATAATACCATACTTTCGTGCTTTCATTTGGGTGAAAAAAGAAAAAGGAGATCTTGCTGCCCTTGCGTTCTAGTGATATTTTATCAAGCTCTCATCCATGTTCTGTTTATGTAGTTGTATTTTATTGATCATGCTTCCCTCAATTTGTGGAGTTTAAATTGCAATTTGTTGTTCCTTTTTCACTTATGAAATTGGCAATGAAATTTCAAAAGCCAGTTTTTTTGGCCAAAATTCACAAACCAATTTAGCAGTCCATGTGTATTCCAAATTTTATTTTTTATATGTTAGAATACTTATAAGCATATGTGATTAATATTTTAAATATTTTCTGTTTTTTGCCAAAATTTGCTATTTGTTCCATGATTTTGAGCACTCCATAGCCTATATAATGTTTCTTCAAGAAATTTAATTTACTCTTGCTGATGACCGTCTTCTGAGATTTAATCTGCAGTTGAGCGATTTTCTTTGGGAGTGAGAAACCCAACAGCTTTCTTAGCAGGGGCCATGGTTAGTAGTTACATGTACTATCTTGTTACATAGTCCATTTCTTATTCTGTGTGGTAAAAGTCCTCTTTAAACAGAATATATTTGTGAGCTTTTCAAACATCACCAGAAAAGATTCTAGTAATAATCAGAATCATTTATACCCACTGTAGAGAAAATTCTGGTAGAAGATTGATTTAGTTTCAGCAGTTCATTTTATCATTTGGCAAGATTGCTAAACTATAAAGACATAATACCACATTGAATGAAATTCTCAATTGTTGATATTCATCTGAAGCTTAAGACTTGTGAATCGATTATTTATCTCATTGCTAATCTGATGGTCATGATGATGCATCTGAATAGTATCCATATTTGTTTTTCATGGTGCCTCTTTTCCTACGTGCTAAACTTAGCAATATCTTTTGCCTGGCTCCTATAATATTGGTTATTCTGGTGATCATATCATATTCTATCATGATAATGCAGGGTATATCTCCTGAATATTTCTTTGCTGGAGTTTGTTGTGGGGGCTTGATCACTCTTCCAATTCAGGTAGTCTTGTTGAGATGGAAATCAGGCTATCTTACACAATATATGCACACACAACACACACAGTCACACGTATGTGTGATTCATGCAGTGACTAATGCTACCTTCTTCTCGTTCTTTTATTGTATCCAGCACACACAAAAAGTCACATGTGTGATTCTTGCTGTGACTGATGCTACTTTCTTCCCTGCCTTTTATTGAATACAGCTGGGGATTGGATTTCTGTTAAGAGAACGTCCTGTCTTTGCTCTCACTACTGTTGCTACAGCAGTGGTTAGCAAAAATTTCCCTTTCCACTCAAAGTTCTAATTTCCTAAATACAGGTACCATAATTTGTAAAATTGTACAGGGAATCTGGACTGTGTTTCCTTATCTTGTGGCCGCTTCAACAGCATTGTTCCTTTTCCTGCGACGTCGCTACTCAAGCTAGCCCTGCTGAACTTTTCAAGCGAATAAGCTGAGGAACAGAGGATAAAAATTCAGACAGGAAGTAGTAAGGTATATAACCGGTTTGTGGTTGGATGGTTGTTGCAACCTTTAGTTGAATAACCATCTCCAATCTCATTTCTTAATAAGAAATTTAGCTTTCTATGCTGTAGATGGAGTAAGTTGTTTAAAAAAATTGGTAACTTTAGGCATATTAGATTTTGTGCATTTGTGTGTAATGCATAACATAGCTTCAGGACTAAAAAATGCCTCTATGGGAATCGAACTCACGCCACAGGGTTAAAGCCATGCACTGTACCGGCTAAGAACCGTGCACTCTACTAGCTGAGCTAAGATGACTAGATGAAATTATTGTTTCTCTTTAGAGTAATAGTAGTTAATCATTTGTAGGCTAAAAGACCAAATCAGTGCCCTAACTTTTCAAGTTGGTGCAAATTCACCCCTTTTACTTGTTTCTGAGACTCATCACCCCTCAAAACTCTAAGTTGATCCCATACTTAATAAGTTGTATAGATAAGTGAAAGCTTGACATTAGCACTGAAGATGGACAGGTTAAAAAAAAAAAAAAAAGGCATCAAAATCTTTCGTTGAACCTTTTACTCCGCATTCACATTTCTTCATAAAAAAAGGCACTCTCTAAAGTCAGATTCACATTCATGATCAAATCCTAATGTTGGCCAACAATGACAGAATAATATCATTTACTGAAACTGAAAACTACCAATTTGTTCGGTTTCTGTAAATGATATTAGTCTGTCATTGTTGGCCGGTATTAAGATTTGATTATGAAAATTGTTTGCCTTGATCTTAATTATTCTTTTTAACTGAAAATAACTTACCCCATTTTTTCATTTTTTTTCCAATTTTTTGTAGAAAATGATGATCTATCAAGCCAAACCAGTTGACCACAAAAATATTGTTCCTTGGAAAAGATTACATCATATGCATAATTATATTATAGGAGTACAGAATCCTCACAATTCATGCATTTCGTAATACTCCTCTGAGATAATTTCTTCCCTCATCTTTCCGAATATGAACATGAATGCTTCCCAAGAAACAAGTAGATCCCATCACCTTCTGAGAGCATTATTTCTAAAGTTACTCTTTCTGTTAGCTGTAACAAGAAACACAAGAGCCATATGCATTGAGAGGGAAAGGCTAGCTCTTCTCAGCTTCAAGAAAGGCCTTGTTGATTTTGATGATATTCTGCCCTCATGGAAATACAACAACTTCGATTGCTGCAGATGGAGAGGAGTTACTTGCAATAACCATACAACTCATATCATCAACCTCGATCTTTGCCCTGTGATCACATACTCCAATAATGGTCTTAGTACTTGGGTACTACTTTGGGGTGAGATAGGTTCTTCTTTGCTTGAGTTACAATACTTGAATCACCTTGATCTTTGTTACAACTCGTTCCCTGATATTCCAGATTTCATTGATTCTCTCAAAGAATTAAGTTATCTAGACCTCAGTTCCAATTGCTTCACTAGAATTCTTGAGTCCATTGGTTCTCATGCCAAGCTGGAATATATCTCAATCTTTCTTACAATATCTTGAATGGAACTATTCCTTATCAACTGGGGAATCTCTCCAGGTTGAGTTCTCTAGATTTTAGTTCTAACATGGGATTATTGGTTGTTGATAACTTTGAATGGGTCTCTCAGCTTTTTCATTTGAATCTCCTTAAAATGACAGGAGTTGATTTCACTAAAGCTCTGAATTGGCTTCGATCAACTATGCTAAATCCATCCTCTCAAGCTTATACTTAGAAGGATGTCAATTTCCTAAGGTTGATTCTTCATCTCTCTCTCATGTTAACTCCATATCTCTTACAACAATCCATTTCTCAAGTTGTATTTTCCACCCTTCAACACTTCCCCTTTTGATAAAAATATGTAGTAAAACTGCTGATCTTTTCCTAAATTATAACTAGTTTGAAGGGCTTATTCCAGATTCTTTCCAGGACTTGGGTTCACTACAACATGTTGATTTCTCAGTGAATCAACTTGAAGGGCCAATTCCAAAATCGTTAGGAAATCTTTCTAGCTTTAAAGCATTAGATCTTTCTGTGAACAATCTAATTCATAATCTTCTGCACACCCTAATTGGATGCACACACAACTCCTTGGAGATCTTGAGGTTGAATGATAATCATCTAATCGGGTCATTACCAGTTATGACAATATTTCCAGCCTTGACAGAGTTGAATCTTAATGCTAATCAGCTAGAAGGCTTTTCTCTTGACGATTTTGGGCATGGATCTCAACTTGCTGTTCTAAAATGGTTAAATACCTTTTTTGGTCCTTTTACTATAGGAAAAAACCCCTTTTTGGTCATTATACCGAAAAAATCCTCTTTTTGATCCCTAAATTTTAAAATCCGACCCCTTTTTAGTCCCTCCGTTAAAATTTTGCTGACTTGTCACGTTAATTAACGAAAACATCTCACATGGCAATTTTAGAGTGTGATATGGCAATTTTAGAGTGTGACATGGCTATTCTACAGTGTTAAAATGCTTACGTGTGAAAAAAAAGAACATAGAATTTGACCTGTGTGGAAAAGATTGACGAAATTATTTCATTATTTTTTATTTAAACAATATTATAAATGATATGAAAATTACGTTGATAATTATAAATGACGTGGATAAAATTATAAATATATATAAGCACTTTATCTGAATATTTT